AAGAATAAAACACCCTAGGAATAAGGAAGTGAAATACTATAAGGCATTGATGAAAGAAATTGAAGAAGACAGAAGGAAATGGAAAGAATGTTCCATGATCATGAATTAGAAAAACAAATATTATCAAAATGTCCATATAACCAACGTAATCTACAGAGTCAATGCAATTCTTATCAAAATTTCAATGGCATTTTTCAAAGAAATAGAAGAAACAATCCTAAAATTTGTATGGAGCCACAAAATAGCCAAAGCAAAATAGCCACACCAAATAGCCAAAGCAATCTGAAAAAAAGAACAAAGATGGAGCATCACATCCTGATTTCAAATTATATTATAAAGACGTAGTAAACAAAATAGTATGGTATCAGCAGAAAAACATAAATCAATGGAACAGAATAGACAATCCAGAAATATACAGCCTCTGCAAAACAAAACAAAACAAAACAAAACAGCCAATTAGCTTAAGACAAAGGAGGCAAGAAAAAACAATGGGGAAAAGACAGTCATTTCAATAAATGGTGGAAAAATTAATAGCCACTTGCAAAAGAATGAAACTGGGCCATTTTCTCACACCATACACAAAATTAATTGAAAATGGCCAAAAGACTTTACTATAAGAACTTAAACCATAGAATTCCTAGGAGAAAACACAAGCTCCTTGACCTCAGTCTTAATGATATTTTTCTAGATTATTATTTGTTAATTATTAAATACACGGGTAACAAAAGTAACTATCAGGGCTATATAAAACTAAAAAGCTTCTGCAAGTTGGAAGAAAGAAAACCTCAACAACAAAAACAGACAACCTACTGAATGGACAAAGATATTTGCAAATCATGTATACAATTAAGGGTTAATATCCAAAATATATAAAGAACTCATACAACTCAATAAAAAAAAAATCCAGTTAAAAAATAGGCAAAGAAACCACAGAGGCTTTTATCTAGAGGAGATACACAGATGGCCGACTGGCATGTGGAACTATGTTCATCACTACTCTTTAGGGAAATACAAATCAAGACCACAATGAGATACCACCTCACTCCTGTCAGAATGGCTGTTGTCAAAAAGAAAAAGAAATAATAAATATTAATGAGGATGGACAGAAAAGAAAATCATTGTGCACTACTGGTGGGAATATAAATTTAATTATATACATTAAAATTTAGAAAACTGTATAAATTATAAACAGAAAATATAAATTAGAAACTAGTAAGAAGGTTTTTCAGAAATTAAAGATAAAACTACCACAAAATCCAACAATTGTACTTCTGGGTATTTATCCAAAGAATAGAAAAACACTAATTTAAAAAGATATATCCACCCCTATGTTCAGGTATGGAAATAACCTATGTGTCCATTGATGGATGAAATGATAAAGAAAACACACACATAGCTACTGCTCAGCCAAGAATGAAATCTTACCATTTACAATGAAATGAAATAAGTCAGAGAGAAGCAAATACCATAAATACCATAAGGTTTCACTTAATATGTAGACTCTAAAACAAAAACAAAAACAAAAACAACAAACTAAAACTAAAATCACAGAGATAGAATACAGATTGGTGGCCAGCAGAGGGGTGGAGGAATGTTGGAAAGTGGGCAAAAAGGGTAAAGAGGATCAAAAATTACAAACTTCCAGTTACAAAATAAGTTAAGGACATAAAGTGCAGTAGGGATAAAATCAATAATATGGTATCCCCTTTGAAAGCTGCTAAGGAAAGATGGTAAATAGAAGTATTGCAATGGTCGCTTTGCAATGTGTCCAAATATTGAATCATTACATTGTATGCTTGTAACTGAAATAATGTATATCAACTGTACTTCTATAATAAATAATTGTTCTTAGTCCATCTAAGGTATCTTGAAAGAAGAAAAAACAGGACATCTTTGATCACTGTGAGGTATCTTGAAAGTAAGACGGGGGGGAAAAAAGGTCATCTTTGATCACCATATTGTTTGAAGGAACTTCTTTCTTAAGGTTTTATTTGCATATTAATACAAAACAAAATCTGGTAACAAATTTTGACAACACTAGTTTTTCCTTGCACATTCAGAAATTTCTCGGTGCCCATTTAAGGGAGAATTCTAAGATATGGGAGTAAATTAAACCTAGACTATATTAACTGGTAGTAGGTTCAGAAACATTTCCTCTTCATTGTAAGTGGATCTGATAAAAAATTTTCTACACCAAAGTGCAAGAAATCTTCAAAATGCAGTCATCTCATGCTTAGCCTAAATTTAGGCAAACGCAATTTCTGAATACCAAGAAAAAGAAAAACTAATGTGATAATAAGCCTTCTAGCACCATGGTCTAAAAATACTGTATTCTTTCTCCCAGATTTACACACAAATGAAAAACTCCTGATCTGGAGAAGCCAGGTTGGCCACAGGTCCATGGAAGCCAGAGTCACTCCACTGTGTGAGCACTGACATTCCATCAGTCCATGTTATGTATGATGTCCTGACCTCCACAGAAGGGTTACAGTCAAGCAGGCTGGAGGCTTTGCTGGGACTTGTGGAGAAGTGAAGAATGGAGAAACTGTCTTCTGAGTAACAAGACTGGCACAGTTAAACACTCACACAAAGGCATGCTTCTGTGTCAGCCACCTTAGAGCAAACCTCTCTGATCTTCCTCTGCTTGTCCTCCTTGCCCTTCTCTCACCAAGTCTACACTTGGCATCTCCTGGCTTCCCGTTCACTCTTCTACCCAATTCAATCTGCTTTACTTCTCCTCCCACTGAGGAACAAATGCATGCATGTCAAGGTCAACATACAGTTCATGTGGTCCATCCCAAAGGCCCCTTTTCACACCCCTCAGCAGCATCCAACATCCCACTCCCACCTTCTTGATACCCTTTCATTCATGGCCTCCATGACCCCTGGTGTCAGGGTTTCCTCTGCACTGATTTCCCCAGCTCCTCTGCTGTTGGCTCCTCATCTTCCTCCCAATGTCCTCTCTTGCTTTCCCCCTGTATCCAGCAATTTCAATGTGTTTAGAACTGTAGGTTTTTGTTTATTATTTTAAATTTTTAAAATTTTTTTACATCGTTGTTCATTTTTAAACAATATTTGCTTCCCCCCAACCCCCTCAGGTGCAGTCCCCATAGAGTTTCCTTCACCAATGCACCCGTGCACCATCACCTCAGTCTCCTGTGCTCCTCCCTCCCTCCCTCTGACTGCTCTCCCTCCTCCTCCTCTGCAGGATATCTCTGGTTTATAATTGTCTGGTTTTGCTTTGCAGAACTGTATTTGTAAGCTGATTCTTCTAATGTCTCAACGAGCTTTTGACTTGTACACCTCACTAAGTTCTCGATTCCCAATACCTATTTGGCATCTCAGACAAACACATGCAAAACCAGAATTTTTATTTCCCCCCCAAAGGCTTTTCCTTCCACAGTTTTCGACAAAGAGGCCTAAATGACCTCATAATCTATCCAGCTGCTGAAGTCAAAAGCCTAAAATCTTTCTGGAAACTCTCATTTCCCTCTTCTCCACATGCAAAGAATCAAAGACCTTCCAATTTCACCACCAAAACACGTCTCGGATAGGTTGCTTCTTTCATCTGTCAGTGATCCCAGGACCTCGAGATGGACTATGGCAACACTCTGACTCTTCTCCTTGCTTGTTGTCTACTGTCTGCATGTGGAGCAAGGTTGGATGACATGGCTCTTGCTGCCTCTCCTTGCCATTCCTGCCACACCGCTTGCCTTTCTGTGCAAGGCAAGTCCTTTCCTGCCTTCCTGAACCTCTTTCTATAAAGCTGAGTTCCCTTCGTGCCACTTCTCACTCCCCGTCAGTAGCTGCATGTGCAACAAGGTCCCCGCTACGGGGAAGTTCCATGAGAGCATGGGACATGGGTCCCTGTCCATTTGGTAGTAGGTGTAGCCTTCCCACTGCCTGCATGAACAGACAGTCAACAGTGGCCCTGGGTGGGGAACACTCGGCGCCTGGTTCTGCCTCTCCTAAACAATGGATGAGTCAGAGCGGATGGGCTAGCGTGCGAGCTGGGACTTCTCTGTGGGAAGAGCAGCCACACCCCATGCTCCAGGGCTGCACAAAAGTGCTAACCAGTCTCCCTGGAGTCAGGCTGGGCTTGGTATTTCCATCAGACCTCAGTTTCAGTGGACAGTCACTGAGGAATGGGGCTGTTTATTTTAAAACAACAACAGCAGAACCAGTCTAGGCAGGCTTCTGCCCACAAGGTAGACTGGTCTTCAGGGCTGCCATCTAAAATGGGGGGTGGGGGGGTGATTCCTGGATGGTGGCTTCCCACCTGTCTGATTGTGGATTCTAAACACTTAGCTCTAGTCAAGAGGGGGCAGGATGAAAGCTTCTGTTGCCATAGCAACCAAGTGCTCCTGGGGCCTAGGCTCAAGGTTTCAGATAAACAACTATTTAGAGAAGGGAAGAAAATGGAGCAAAGCAGAAAGGGACAAAAATGGGAAACGGCAAGAAGTAATCCTACAAATGCTGCAAGACACACTGAAAACAAAATGCAGGAGCAGGAGAAAATCCTCCCAAAGCACAGGAGTGGCCTCCTGCGGGAACCATCCTAAACAAAAGGCCCCATTGACACAAACATCTGTTACTACTAAACACTTTGGAATCAATATTTTTCTAAAGGGCACCCCCTCCCTTTTGGCTTTAAAGGGTTACTGTCTGCTAGGCTACCAAACCCCACCCTTCTTCAAGTCCCCAGCTACCACATAAAGTGACTATTACAACTTCAAAAGAAGAATTCGGTCCCGGAAATGCTTTGTACTCTTTTTGTACCCCAAATAGAGACAACAGAAAAATGTTAAAGGCAAATCCAAACCCACGCCCTGAAAAACTTAAAACATTACAGTCATTTCCCTGCAAGGATGAGTAACCTATCCTAATGTAATTTAAAAAGGAAACACAGCAGATTTAATGGCTGGCCTGGATGTGTCTTGAAGGAAAGGAGGGGTGGGAGGGAGGGAACAGAAAGGGAAAGGAATCAGGTGGTGCTTTACCTCAACACCTGCAGCTCCTCCGAGGAGTCCCGTACCTCGTCCTGGAGGCGCCTCCAGCGCAGACAGGCCCTCAGCTCCTGGTGCTCCTGCGCCTGGTGGGGGGCCAGCTGAAGGGGCACAGACACACAAACTCAGTCATTGTCCTGCAGAGTCAGAGCTGCCCCGCGGAGCAGTGGCTGGCTTGTCTGAGGGTGGCCCAGACAATCTCCCCACTGCACCTTATACCTTGCCTCCCCCCATCAGAAGAGTCAGAGGTCAAAGGGGTCTCCTAGAATCAGTCACTCATTCTTAGGTTGCCTATTGGGGAGGAAATCCCTGGTCCTGAAACGACCCCTCCCTCCGCTGCCCTAGACAGAGCAGGCTTCCCTAGGGGACCATTTCCACTCATTCCTTCCAGGCTTTCATGCTTTGTCTCTGCACAGGGTGGGAAAAGTCCCCTCCATTTACCTCCTATTTTTCCCAGTCCTCAGTTTTGTTAAGGGCTGTTTACAGTGGAGCCTGCTAATGCAACCCAGATGATTCTGTTTGCATATAACCAGAAAGAGTGTACTGCCTGGATCACTCTGGGGGAGGGGAAGGCCATTGCATCCTGCCCTGTGCTCAAAATCAGCTGCTGTCATTCCAAATGTTCACCAGGCCCCACAGCTATAACATCTGCAAGGGAGACCAACAGAATTTCACTGGGTAGGAAAATGTCATTGTCTATGGGCACTTCTGGAAATTACACGTCCCTAACAGTTCATTTAGCTGATATTTACTGAGTCTCTGCTAGGCCCTGGGCATATATGGACAAAGGCCTTACTCTGAGGAGTCCAGGGGAAAGACACATGAGAACATTAACCATTGGTGTTCAGCGATGGTAGAGGTTAAGAACCCAGATACCCCCATACACACATGGTGGGGCCTGAGTGGGTCCTCAGGAAAAGCAGGAGTCAATCAGGAGGACGAATTTCAGTCAGAGGGAAGGCAAGGTGCCTGAGGAGAGCATGATGGGCTTAGGGAATGGTAAGGGATGTGGTTAGGCTGCTATCCTGGGACGGACAGAGGTGCCAATTAACCAGCAGAGGTCAGACGATCAACAGACTTTGTGTGCCCTGTTGTTCTGGCCTGAATTGTGTCTCTCTCACCCGCCAAATTCACATATTGAAGGCTTAACACCCAATGTGACCATGTTTGGAGATGGGGCTTACAGAGGAAATTAAGGTTAAATGAAATCATAAGGGTGGGACCCTAATTCAACAGTACTGGTGCCTTATAAGAAGAGACACCAGAGCTCTCTTTCCTTGTGTGTATAGAAAGCCCATGTGAGGGCAAAATGAGAGGTGGCTCTCACCAAGCCAGGGAAGACAACCTGAAACCAAGTCTGTCTGCACCTTGATGTTGGACTTCTTGGCTTCCAGAACAATGAGAAAGCAAACATTTGTTAAGTTTCCTCTTCTGAGGGATCTTATGCAGACCCAGCTAACAAAGACATCCATGAAAGAGTTCAGATTTTATCCAGGTTGATGAACGAGTAACAGGATTCAATCTTGCAATGAACTCAATTCACTTCTCCCTGCAGAATGCCTCCCTGAGTAGAATGTCAGCTTCTAGCTCCTTGCTCAATGATGTCCCATTCCTTGACGCTGCTGCGCTTGTTAATGCTCAGTGCTGTGGCATGCAGCCTCATTGGCAGAACAGGGACAAGTGTCCTCATATCCTCTTCACTGGGGGCCAGGAGACTCCCACAGTGGCATACCCTTCCCTGCTCTGAAGAGTGCTCCTTTCTCACTGGGAAAATGGACTGTGCACACTCTTTAGGGACCAGCGGCAACTCAGTACATCCATCAAAGAAGAGGTCAGGGTGACGGATGTGCTCTGGAAGTTTTGTACTGGAATCTAGATTGGCCACTTTGCGTCAGGGGCATCTGTGTTTCCACATATTGAACCATTATTGTATGAACCTTGAAGGAGAGGATAATGGATTGTTCCCTTGTCAAGTTGAGGGGAAAGGAGGGATAGAGAAACTTCAACTCCTACTTTCCCTTTGAGATCCACCTCAGAGAGTCACCTCCTTCAAGAAGCCTTTGTGGATCTACTCAGACTTGGCTTCTGGCAACCTTGAAGTTTCATAATATTTGCTATTCCCTTCTCTTTTGTATCATATTTCCTTCTTCCCTGCATTGTGTGCTTTTCTTATCTTCACAATGAGACTATGGTCTCTTTCAGATTTGGGTTGTGTCTTTTATACCCCTTTATCCCTACAGACCTAGCACAGAAGGGCCACCCAGAAGGCAAGCAGCAATGAGAGTCAGCCAGGTTGACTCTGTGCATCCAACAGTGGAAATGGCTGTGTTTAGGGGAGAAGCAGGACCCACCCAAGCAAAGAAATTCAGGATTGACCCACTGGAAGGGTAAAGGAGGAGCACTTTGGGGGCATTCCAGAGATAAAGGACAGAGAGACGGTATCCATCAGAAGCTTAAAATGTACTCATGGGGCCTCCCTGGTGGCCTAGGGGTTAAGTCTCAGCACAATCATCACTTCATCCTGAGTTCAGTCCCCAGCCAGGGAGCTAACCCACATACGGCACAGCAGACCTGTCTCACCCGCTGCTCCCCTCAGCAGTGTATTTCAGTAAATCTGCCTGTCCTGCTCCCCACTCTCTCTGGTGAATCCTCTTATCCCCCACACTCTGGCCTATACCCCAGTTATTGTATGCATAAATAAATAAAAAACAAATCTTTTAAAATGTACTCATGATTACTAAAAATAGCATGAATCATTGTCTCAGGATGGACAAACTCCAGGGAAGGGATGGTAACAGAGGCACATTTACTAAACCTATTTAGCTCTTGCTGAATGCCTACTGTGGGCAAGGTAGCAGCAAATACAAAGAGGAACAGAACAGGAAGGGAGAATTAGTGCTTCTGGCACACCCTCCACAGTGTCAGGTGCTGTGCTAAACTCATTCACACATTATCCCATTCACCCTGCGAGATTAAGTATTTTTATACCTATTTTATAAATGAGGAACTAGGGCTCTGGAAACCTATATAACCTGCTTATACCCAGAAAGCTGATGAATAACAGAGCTGGAATTCCAAGCTTGAACTAACTCTGAATTCAGACACCTCCTCAATCTGCCTTGTGGCTCACTTCCACGGGACTCTGTGTGGCAGGGGGACACAGATGTGCACACTGCTAGGTTGATGGCCAAATGTGAAGGGGGAGAGAGGATGAGTAAGACACAGTTCTGAGGACAAGGAAGAAGAAAAAAGTGAGAAAAAAGTTGTAAGTAACAGTGTGGGAGTGTAACTTTCTAGAAGAGTAGAATATCCTGAGAGGGTGATCTTGACAAACAAGACTTAATAGGCAGAAGGACCTTTAGCAAAATTATATAGGTATTCACAAACCTTGGAATTTTGGATAATATCAAATAATCCCATGTGTAAGGGGATGGGGGAGGGAGTGTGACCAAATATTATGGGCTGAAAAATAAGCAGGAAGTAGTTCAGCTACCAACTCTCAGTAGAATTGGTAACAAGTTGTTTAGAAGTTGTAAACTGGCAGCATGTTGACCAGATCTGGCCTCTGGGTATGTTTGGCTTGTATAATACGTTTTAAATTAGGAAATAGTACATAAAATTCCAATTTTAGAACTTTCCTTAAAAAAATTAGAAGCCCATGTTATTTTAAATTCTCTTCTTCAACATGATCAGAACTCAGGAGCAGCTGCCAGTTTGCCACAGTCCCCACCATTCCATAAGCTATAACACTAACAACTTCTTTCTCTATTCACTCCTTGCCAGCAGACATCTGATATTATAAACTCTAATTTAAATTGTAATCTCATTATTACAGAATACATGCATATACACAGAGTTAACGTCACCAAAACCACAACCACAAAGGAGTGATTGAGTACGCCATGGCATGACCTTTGCTTGAAATCTTCATTCAATGTCCCCTTATCATAGAGGGCCTTCTCTTAGGCCTGCTGAAAAGCTTCTCCCATTCCCACTTTCTATTAGGTCTCACTTTCTTCACAGTACTCCCCACTACGTGACAGGTTAGCGATATCTTCACTTGTCTATTTTCTTTCACTAGACTGTGAACCTCTGGGGAGCAGGGACTTTCCTTCCTTGTTTATGCAGCTCTCTGTGGAATAAGCACTCAATCCATATATGTTGGGTAAACGAGTGACTAGAAATTGAATTTGACTCTGGATGATTAGGTGTTTAGGGTCACGTTAAACCCACCTGCTGTGCTTCAGCCCAGAACACGTCCTCCAAGTGAGTGGCGAACCCTTCACTCAGCCACTCTTCCGTCCAGTCGCGGGCCCCAATAGCTAGGCCAAACCAGGCATGGGCGATTTCGTGGCAGAGACGGGTTCCACAGAGCTGGCTCTTTCCTGTTAAGGTGCTCTGGGAGAGGAAGATGATGTGTGGGCTGTGGATAATGGGGGAGAAAACACAGGGAGTCGTGTCAGAGCCTGCCCCTCGCGGCTGCCCCGCGGGTGCTTTCTCAGCCTGGCAAACCTGTTATTATCATGTGCATGCCAGATCACGACCGATAGGCCTACAGCTTCGATGCTTTCAGAAATAAAGTGGCAGTTTACGTTGCTGGCAGCAGTTCAGGCAGCCGTTTCTGCCAAGCAGTTGTCTCCGTCATCAAACGACTATTACCTGTAATAAGTAACCTGCACCAAAGTTTTACACGAAGAAAAAAAAAAAAAAATGACAAGGCAATGGAAGCATTTACCCTGAAATCTGGACTGTAAGGGAAGAGCAGGTGTGAGAATGTGAGTCCATGCTGTCAGGATGATGATCAAAGAAGAGCCTTCAGCTGAACTCTGAATAGCTTACAAACAAATCAAGAAGTTCTGAAGAAGGCCAGGAAAAGCCGAGAAGAATGGCACCCACAATTTTCCATTTCTCACTGGGGTTGGTTATGGAGTCAACAACTAAACAGGTGTCAGGGACGGGTTTCCAAGAGAACGAGAAAGGCTGAACTTCTGTAAGGTAAAGATTTTCAAAGGTATCATCCCCTCTCTGTAGATGCGTGTATAAGCATATCACATAACAAAAACGGGAGAGAGCAGGAGAGAGAAAGAGCGAGAGAGCGAGTGAGTGAGAAAGAGAGAGAGAGAGAGAGAGAGAGAGGAGTTAACCACGCAGGTGTGCAAATGGCTCCAGGGCTGGCACCAGCCAGGGAGATTTATCTAATCTCATTTTCCATTCCTTGTTTAAAACCTCAAATACCATGATTAGGCTGCATTGGTGGGAGGAAAGGAGGCTGAAGAGGAGAGGCAAATAGACTATCTCCTGAGCTTCTACCTTCCTTTATCCAGGACTTGTTTACAGTCTTCTTAATGAAGAATCTGCTCTTAAAAAAACCCTGTCTCCATCAACTGAACAAAAAAGGTTGTGAAACATTCCAAATTAAGAAACGGCACACACTGGTTCCTTTCTTCAAACACCATTTGTTTGCCATCGTGTGGGCTCCACACAAGCCAGGACTACTTGCAGATTTGTCCTCCACCCCCACACCCACGGGTACAGAAAGCCCCACCTGCATTTCCCCTCCCTCCCCAGCCTCACCCATTCAGCTCAGAGAGCCCAACTGAAGTCCCAGGAGTCATGTGTGCCAAAAGAGACGGCTTTCATGTGAAATAACAGCAGGATAGGTGCGCAAATGAAAACGCGTCTGCTGGACACTTGGAAGAGCTTACCAGAAACCTCAGGAAAGAAGAGTACAGTTGGGGTCTCGAGGACACAGGGGTGCAATGCAGCTGGTATCAACAGAAGCTCAGGGAAAGAAGGAAGGAAGGAAAGAAGGAAGGGCAGAAGGGAGGGAAGGAGGCAAGGAGGGCGGGCAAGAAGAAGGCTGCACAGGAGAAAGGGAGGAGGGAGAACGGGAACTGAGAATCACAGGATAGAAACTTCCTCTTGCTGAGAAAGTTGTCCCCTAGAGAAGACAAACTGCAACCTGGCATTTTCAAGTAAATGACCCCTTGCATGTACACTGCTCAAAAAAAAAAAAAAAAAAAGCCACAAAAATGTAGCAAGTAAATAACATTCCAGACATACTGCACTTCACCGTTTTGGCTAAAACAAAACACAAGTAACTTCAGGTCTTGTAAACAGGTTCAACAACAGGCCTGCATCAAAAGGGTCCTCTGGCCAGAACCCCAGGCGGTGTTACAGAGACTGTGTGGCTGACCCAGGAAGGAGCCTCAAACTGACAGCTGAGAAACTGCAGCAGACTGCTCAGAAAGAAAAGGCCCACTCTGTCTGGGGCGACCCACTTTGTCTCAGGGTGGAAGCCGAACCAAGGTCTGTTAATGCAAATATCAAAGTCTGGAAGGGCCTGTCTCTGGAGTGGCATTTAATTTTCCTGCCTGAAACAGTCTTTGCTGTTAACTTCCCAAACTGCAGGCACTTGGGAGACACCACCAATGCAACCTTGGTGAATCTTGGTTGGACTCAGGACAGACCCTGGCATTGCTGGAATCCTTTCTTCCCTGTCGGGGAGGGAGGGAAGAATACATTTCCCACTGTCCTCTGAGAAAGACTGAAGCTGAAACATCTTCCTGGGTAGCAAGAAAAGGCGTTTCCCGGATATAAATGGGCCTATTACCCATTAAAAGCATGACCTTCTTCCTGAAAAGCAATATTCCAGTTGAGAAACAAATCTCCCTGCAGTCCAGTTTGTCCCCTAAAGTTGGGTTTGACCTGTGGGGTGGGCGGTCTGGGGTCTCATTTCCCTAGGAAGAAAATGAGTTCTTTCTTAAAACTAATATAAAACATGGAATAAGGTTCTCATACGCTTTCTAGTGGGTTGTTAACAAAAATCTGATATAAAATGATCGAAAGAGTTTTCTTTAAAGGAGAAGTCACACCTCTTCTTTGGACAGTATATGTCAGAATCTCTCATGTTAAATATGATTTTAAAACTGCTTTTCTTTTTCCTTTTTTTTTTTTAATATTTGTTTATTCATGCATACAAGAGCTGGGGCACAGGCCAGAGATGCGGGGGGTGAGAGGATTCACCAGAGACAGAGTGGGGAACAGAACAGGCAGATCGACTGAAATACACTGCTGAGGGGCGCAGCTGGCGAGTCAGGAGAGGTCTGCTGCGCCATGTGGGTAGCTCCCCGGCAGGCAGGGGATTGAACTTGTGCTGCAGAGGCTGCAGGATTGCTTCATAGTGCGGTACTTAATCCCTTGCGCCACCAGGGAGGCCCTGCTTTTCTTAATAGTGAGTGAAGGGAAGTATAATACTCTTAAATTCAAGGGGTAACAGTAAATACTCCTTTACCAGTGGGTAATCTACTTCACATCCACCTTCAACGCAGAATGAAAGTTTAGAATTTTCCACTTCAACCTTCACTTTGATTTGTAGCTCTCACCGGGGCCCTCACTCATTCCCGCATTCCCAGAACCTTATTCATGGTCCCAATCAGGCAGCAGCTCATCCGTCTTCACTCTGACAAGGCCCATTTGAAAACGGGTTTTCTTTTCTCTTTTTTTTCCCTGAAAGGGCCCGTGTCAACTGCCTCTGCAGATGCCAAATTGTCGCGATTCATCATCATTATAGAGAGCGAAGGGAAGAGAGTCACTTCAATGACACCTTCATTCTCTCTCTCTCTTTCTCTTACCACAGAGGTTATCATTTTTCCCAAATAAGAGATGGATGGCAAAGTCATGTTTTTATCTTTGAAAAAAGCGCAATCACTCTGGCTTGTATTCTCCATCTCTGTGGCTACAGGTGGCCAAGGAGGAGGCAGGCAGTAGCCCAGGTCCAGGGCATGGGGGCATCTGTCCCAGGAGACCACCAGCAGGGCTGCCGCCCCACAAAGACCACATGGCATCCTCTGTCTGCTGTCTCACCCCTTGAGACTAAAAATATCATCTGATCTGAAAACAGTTTCTCAAGACTTTTCCTCAAGCTATCTCCCCACCCAGATTAGAGGGCTGTGTCCGTTAATTTAAAACATGCTTCTAGCAGAGGAGGAAGGAGTGCCTTCATTACTCTCAGGAGCAGCTCCAATCCTTCGGGGGGAATTCAATTTGGAACGGAAATGGAGAATTTCATCAGATCTTAAGTAGGGGCTGGTGTGTGATTTATTTCTGTTTTGTCCAGGGAGACGTGCCCGGCACAGCCCATCTCACTGCTCAGGAGAGGTACAGCACTTAGCAGCTCCAGCTCCTGCTGCTGCCTCAGCGGGTTAGAGCTGCTGCTGCTGCTGGGACCAGGAGGGCAGGAAATTACTTTGGGTTAATGACAAGAAGAGCCTCAGGCCACCCCTCCCATTATACTGGAGCAGGTCCCAATTCCCCTCAGGGGGAGCAGATTCACTTTTTATAAGGCTCTTTGGAGGTGCATCCAGGAAACAGACTTGGATTCATCAGGCTTGCACTTCTTGTGGGTTCAAGGCTTTTTTACAATCTCAACAACACATGGAACCCAGTATCCTGCTACAGAAAGTAAGGAAAAAGCCAGAAATAGGAAACTGGGGGCTCCTTTCCCTCCAAAGTCAAACTGGAGAGTTAGAAGGGCCTCATAATCATATGGAAGTGAACTTAATTACTTGCTGATTTAATTTGGACAATTGAAAAGGAGACTCATAGAGGCCTGGGGCAACCTGAAAGGGAGGGCAAATGGACCTATGAAGTGGAGTCTTTAAACTGAAGCCCAAGGAGGTGAGGGGATGTTCTTTGGGGAATCTGGGACTTTCTGGAGCCTGAGGTAGAAACCAGTTCTAAAAACTTGATGGAGTAAACTTACTATGTCTGATCAACACAGGGACCTGGGTTCGTGAGAAAAGAGTTGATGTTGGTCAGTATTAAGTTTTCCGTTAAAAATTCTGAATAGCAAATAGGCTGTACACATCTACTAATTCACCTACATGAATTTTGGCCCAAACTGCCATTATGATTACAACAGAGAGTGAATGAGGGAAGCCCCAGGGCCACATACCAAAGACTTCTACAAAAACATATCCTGATTTTGCCTGAGTGCTTGCTGTGGGTTAGGCACTGAATTTTACATATATCACCTAATCTACTCTCTACCCCACATCCTTAGTATAGATTTTATTTTTATCCCCATTTTATAGATGACAAAAGGGAGGTACAGAGAGGTAAAATATCTAGTCCACGGTCACAGAGCTGGCAAGTAATGGAGTCAGTATTTGTATTCATAGTCTTGCCCCTTAATCCTTAACCTAACTCACTCTGCCCAAGTCACTGTTCACATCTGTGACTTCAGGACTCACACCCAGTGCTCTCCCAGGAGCTGCATCTTTAGAGTCTGCATCCACCCAACAAAGCACCAACTGGCATCTGTTTCCTAAATCTGTATCACAGCCAGAACTAGCCACAGGTTACCAGTCCTTTTGACTAGCAAAGCTCCGGCCTACCTAAAAGGAAAAAGGAGGAGGAGCA